CTCTCTCTCTCTCTCTCTTTCTTTCTTTTTCTTTCTTTCTAGTTGGAGTCTCCCTCCGTCACCCAGTCTGGAGTGCAGTGGTACACTCCCGGCCACCGCAGCCTCACCTTGTTGGGCTCCAGCAATCCTCCCACCTCAGCCTTCCAAGGAGCTGGAACTACAAGTGCGCGCCACCACGGCCAGCTAATTTTTTATTTATTGTAGGGACGAGGGCTCTCCAAGCTGTCCAGGCTGGTCTTGAATCCGCGGGCTCAGGCAATCCACTCACCTTGGCCTCCCAAAGCGCTGGGATGACAGGTTGAGCCACGAAGCCCGGCCTGTTCTTTCTTTTAAGAGCAAGAAGACCCCTCCTAGAATCTCTCCCACTTAAAATATTACACGAAAGCCAGTTGAATCATGAACTTCGCAGCAACCTGGATGGAATTAGAGTTTATAATCCTGAGCGACCTCTTACAGAAACAAAGAGCTGTGTATCACACGTTCTCACTCATAAATGAATCTTGAAGAACTTACTGCATTACTGTAGGAGAGGGATTGAAAGTAGCAGGAAACTGCAGGGAGGGGGTTGAGGGTGGAGGGCTGGGTTTGACAGGAGTCTATCTGCCTGGGGAAGGGAGGGCACACCTCATCAGTAAGGGTAACTGCACAAGGAACATTTGCCTACCTAACCCTGAATTGTACCCCACAATTTCAAAATAAAAATTAAAAGAGGGGAAAAAAAGCCAATTGTAAATTGAGGTTTTTGTTTGATAGCATATCAAATGATTGTTCAGAATCTTACCCTGGTGGCCTAAATATGGGTGGGAAATCCAGCTTCATCACTTACTGGCTGTGTAACTCTAAATACCTTATTTAAACTCCTTGTGCCTCAGTTTTCTTAAATGTAAAAAGGTACAAATAATATACTCACTTCACTGGGTAATCGAGAAGAAAAAGTGAGTAAATATATTAAAGTTTATAATGGCGTCTGGTTACTATTATTTTTATAATGATTTTCACTGTCATGTATATAATGAAATTTATAGAAACCTGAGAGGTCAAAAAATTCAATTACCCGATTACCTTTTTTTTTTTTTTTTTTGAGTTGGAGTCTCACTCTGTCGCCCAGACTGGAGTGCAGTGGCCGCTCCCAGCCACCGCAGCCTCGACTCCGGCGATCCTTCCGCCTCAGCCTTCCCAGTAACCGGAATTACAGGCGTGCGCTACCACGCCTGGCTGATTTTTTTATTATTATTATTTTTTGTAGAGATGAGGTCTCGCTGCCCAGGTGGGTCTCAAACCCACGGGCTCAGGCAATCCACTCCCAAAGGCGCAGGATTACAGGCTGAGCCACTGAGCCCAGCCCGATTACCTCTTTTAAAAGAAGGTATCAGTAAAAGTTTTAGTTGCGTTGAATAATTTTTTTTTCCATTGATAAGATTTGGACATGATATCTGAAAGAATAAAAATTAACTTCAGGAATACTTTTTTATTTAAATGTGTATTTTGGTCTTTAAAGAAGTCGTCCACATGGCTAAAATTCAGAAGCTAACTTCAAGCCAGAAACAATGACTTCATAGCCTGACTCAACTACCACAGAGCCAGGAAATATATGTATATATATCTCTGCAAAGTGCATAAAGTGCATTTAAGCATAAGAATAATTAAACTGATTCTATTTTGTTGAATTTTATTGTTAAGTTCTTCAGTTAACACTTAGAAAGAAGGAGAATGGGGAAATCGTCTCAATCTATTCTGATCATAAAAGTCCCATTAGCAGATTCTTTCATTAGATAAAAAATATATACCAAGGCTAAAAATGCCTTTAATGGTACCAGTGCTATCCAGTCCTTTACATATGCTTCTTTTAAAACTCCCAACTGCAATTATAAAATTCCATTTCCTTTCTTTCTCTTAGGTTTAATCTCACCATTCAGACACCATATCTTGCTCACATGAAACTATCTAGGTGCAGAGAGGGAAGGTAAATTAGGTGAATTAGCAATGAATCATGGAAATTGGCTTCCCTAGAACAGCATTTTACAGCTTGGGGGTCACTGCATGATCTGCAGGTCCCAGAATGAAGCATTAGATTACAATTTCTTCAGCAATCCTCTTAATTATGTTTCTCCTTTCTAGGGGGTCTTACCCATCAGCATAAACCATGGAATGGTCTCATTTGAACAATGCTAAAAACAAAAAGCTCACTATGATCTTAGTCCTTCTCCTAGTATTACCCAAACGCTGTCACTGTCATCTCTCTGTAAGAGGAGTATACTCACTGTCTCACAATGGTTTCCATTTGGTCTTAAATGCATTCCACTGAAATGTCTCTTTGAATTGACGTCCGCATTAAATCCAAAGGTCCATTCTCACTCTTCATCTTTCTTGGCCTATCAGCAGTATTTGTAGCTGATCACACTAGCCTCTTGAGAACGGGTTATTTACTTGACACCTAGTGCATTACACTCTCTTGTTGTCTTGTTTTTGTTTTGTTCTTTTCTTTCTCGGTCTCTCTCATTCTTGCTGTTGGCTCTCATTCTTTCTGCCATCTCTCCTGGGAATCCACTGTGCTCCATCTCCTTGACTTACCTCCCTGTCTTCTAAATGTTGAAGTGTTCCTGGGTCCATGCCCTTGGTGATCTCATTTGGTGTCGTGGGTTTGAATACCTTCTGTCCTCTGTTGAATTCCCAAGTGTTTATCTTCAGATAGAACTTCCCTTTTGTAGATCATATTGCTATATGAATGTCTACATCTGTATCTAACAGGCAACTCAAGTTCTAGAATTCAGCCAAATTTGCCACTTCTCCCTCCCTCAAAGGAATCCTGTTTCTTAGCAGTCTTCTGCCATTTCTATCCTTTCAGTTTTCCATATCAAAAACCTCAAAACTCTTCTGGATTTCTCTCGCATCCAGTAGACACTCTGGAAGCATCTACCAGTATTTTTATCTTTGAAACACATTTCTGCTCTGGTAGAAAAAACACTATCATTTTTCTCTTGGATTATTTCACTTGGCTCTGTACTTAACCTTCTGTTTCCAACCTGGCATCCTTCCAATCATGAACACATAAAAGAAGTTTCCGGCAGGGTCTGGTGGCTCACAATCGTAATCCTAGCACTTTGGAAGGCCAAGGCAGGCAGATTGCTTGAGCCCAGGAATTCAAGACCATCCTGGGCAACATAGCAAGACCTTGTCTCCACAAAAAAATTGAAAAATCAGCCCGGTATGGTGGTGTGTGCCTGTAGTCCCAGATACTTAGGAGGCTGAGGTGGAAGGATCTCCTGAGTCCAGGAGGTCGAGGATGCAGCCAGCTGTGATTGCTGTGATTGTGTCACTGTATTCCAGTCTGGGCGACAGAGTGAGACCCTGACTCGAAAGAAAGAAAGAAAGAGAGAGAGAGAGAGAGAGAGAGAGAGAGGGAGAGAGAGAGAGAGAGAGAGAGAGAGAGAGAGAGAGAGAGAGAGAGAGAGAGAGACAGAGAGAGAGAAAGAAAGAAAGAAAGAAAGAAAGAGAAAGAAAGAAAGAAAGAAAGTGTTTCTTAAGTCATATTATTTCATTTTTCTTCTAAGATCTTCCAATGATTTCCTGGTTCAATCAGAGTAAAAGCTTCATTTTGAAGTACTTAACCTTTAGATAATATACTACCTTGGCATAACTCTCATCTCTTAAATATATCAAAGGGAGAGGAATTGCTAAAAAGCTAAAATAGCTTTTAAAAGTAAGGAAAACATAGCTCTAAAACTTAATTACAGATTGATGAAAAAATCAGGTGCAATTTATACCATATTTCTTGGTAGATCACCTCTTCAATCAGATCTTAAAGGCTACTTTTGCCTCTTCAGAGCAATTTTCATGTAATTAGAAGAACAACATTTTGGAAATCCCTAATCTATATGCTTGCTTTTGTGTCACTTAATCTCTCATTTTACAAACAGTTTGTATCTCCTGGGACACACAAAAAAAGAAGATTTATATATTTTAGTCTTTCTTAATTCTATCCAATGAAGTTGCTTTTTTAAAATTTTCAGGTACTGGAAAGTTTAACAAGAATAAACTCAATTTAATCAAGCTGGAACTTAAAATGATTACTACCTTGAAAAGTCCAGATTCTTCCTGGGGTATCACAAATTATAATAGATGGACCTGCCAGTCTTAATTCAGCTACAGCTACTTTGGTCAACTTGGAGACCTTGCTGTTTGTCTGAAAATTTGAGACATCTTCTTTGTTATGCTGTCTAGTATAACACGAGCCAACAATGATTTCGCCCTTTCTGAACATCCATAACTGTGGGTTTATTTGCAACTTGAGTAACATAAATATACCCTATTGTAGCTCAATCCTAACTTTTCCTTATGCGGAACTCTTATTTAGATTATAAACTTCCCAAGGGCAATTTCTTCCTTAGTGCCACTATTATCATGTTTGTTACCAGAACTCTCTAGTAACTTTTATTTTTAATTAAATATTCATGCATATTGTGACAAGATATTGTTTCTATTTCTGAATAAAAAAGTTTTTGCAGCCAAGGGATATTTAAATTCTTGAAACTGATGCATTCATTGTGTCAAAAGAACAAATCAGGAAAAAGTTTATCTTAGGTTCCTTGGAAATGGTTACAAAATTTTCTTTTGTTTTTAATTACTTTTAGCAAGCTCTATTGCCAAGATGGGTTCAGATCCTCTAAAACTTGTCCATGATGCTGTGGAAGAAACAACGGACTGGATTTATGGCTTCTTCTCTTTGTTGTCTGACATCATCTCATCTGAAGGTGAGGAAGAAGATGAAGATGGGGACGAGGACACTGATAAAGGTACAAAAGACATATCACTGCCAAGACCAATATTAGAGATGCCTCCCAGTGTCTTGCTTAGATCTAAGCACCAATGAGCCCTTGAGTTAAACTAAACCCAAATGAATACATTTCTGCTAAAAGCATATCAACAGGCTGCCAAATGCAATAAAGTGGTCTTTATTTTCATCTTCTAGCTTATCTGTCATTACGGCAAATATACCAAAATTAAATTCTAATATTACAGCAGCATTATAAGAGAGAGAGTCCTATTAGGAAGAACCATAAACTCACAATAGAAACTCACATTTATATGCTGCTTTAGTATTGTTTTTCAAGTTTATCTCTAAGAAGATTGAAATAAAAGTAGTAAGACTAAAAATACATATAAATGTTTTTTATACATAAGTTGTATTCATAGTCGAATAACAGCAGTCTTACAAAAACCACTATCAAAAGAGTAAATTTATTGAAACACATGGAGATGGAGAACTGAGGGCTGCATTCTAAATGTCTTAACAATTATGCAACTATCTTATGTACCTTCTCATATATATCAATGAATAAAAGGAAATGGCCAACTCAAACCACATAAAAACGGCCTTTGAATGAAAATAACAAAGCCTTGTGATTCCATCTTTTAGATGACATTTTTTCGGGTTGGTCTTGGCATCAGAAATCATGTATTCAGCCCAGACTACCAGAAAAGCTCTTATCATTAGAGACTGTTGTAAAACTTTTCTGAATTTATGTTTATTTTGGCCTTCATCAGAGGTCAACATGAACAACGGAGAGCTGAAATTAACATGATATATGACCTATAATATAAAATTAGGATCACTGCCACAATTTTACTGAACTCATAAAAATGAAACCATCTCAAATAAATGTATATGAACCAAGTTTATGCTTAAAGACTGCCGTTTGGGAAGCGAAGTAATATATGAATATGACTGTCAAAACTAATAACTGTTTTTAAAACAATTAACAAAACAGAATGAAAAAATAGTGAAGTCATATTATGCTATGCTAAAAGTTTAAAAAAAATTTTAATTTATTGTTTTTGTTTTGGTTTAGGAGAAATACAGGAGCCTCCCTTGAAAAAAAAAGGTTGGTTGTTTTCACCTTTAAAAATAATTATTTTTCTTTTATGCTAATGTTGATTTTCAGCATGACTCAAATACACGGGAGGACCCCCAAAACGACCCAGAATTTATCATAAAAAATTATGTATTCTTGCATGTTTAAAATTCAGTCACCTTCAAAGTACTCTCTGTTTAATGCAAAACACCTATTGCGATGCTTTTTCCACTGCTATAAACAGTTTTTGAACTCATCATTGGTAATACCTTTTAGTGCCTCTACTGTTTTTTGTTTCACCTCTTCCACATGGGCAAAACATTTCCCTCTGAGGACTTTTTTCATCCTGGCAAACAATAGATTGTCATTCATGGTAAGATTTGGTGAATAAGGAAGGTTGGGCGTGAAGGTCATACTGTTTTTGGTCAAAAATTGCTGAACACTCACTGAGGTGTGGGAAGTTGCACTTGTAAATCACCCATCAGGAAATGGGCAAATGTGTTGAAAAGACTCTCCAAAAAAAAAAAAAAAATCACTGAAGCCTAACAGAGCATCTTAACAATGCTAATATCCTAATGCTGATGGGCTCTTAAAACACTTATTCATCGGAGGAAACCTGTACTACGAGGGGCCTGCCCTCCAAAATATAATTCTGGGTTTTTTGGGGGGATCCCCCCTCATATATTTCGCTTGAGTTGTAGTATTATTTGTAATATAAAGACTTTATATAATGATTAGATCAAGATTTATAGTCAGGGGAAAAAAAAAACCCTCAATTTCTTCCAAGGAAGCTGATTTCACTATTTTTCAGTTGATTATTTTACGATTACCGTCTTCAGTAGATTTGTACAAATTAATCTATACACAAACCAATGTGAGTTGGAATTTCAAGAATGAGAGTAGAATTTTGCAGTCTTGGAAATGGCCAGATGATGACCCCCATGATCTTTATCCTCACCATGACCAGATTTATTGATTTAAAATTTTTATTCTTATTCTTTTTCTTCTTGTTTTACTGTCAGTATTATTTTGCATTGCAAGTGATACCTATGGGACAAGATAGCTGAGATAGCGAGAAGCATAATAATCTTTAAGGCAAAGACATGTCGTCTATAGGTAGCTTGTATCCTTCTCAAGGAGTGGAGTCACCTGGGTGTGCTAGGATTTACTATAGAAGAATTCCTTGAGGGATTTAAATTAAGGTGTTCAGTGACTAGTGGGGTGGTTACAATCCAAATTATGGGAGCCGTAGACCCAGGAAAATGGGGAACAGTTATGGAGAGAGAAGCTATGGGGTTTTCTCTGGGTACCTCAGAGGGACAGAGATTGTTACAGGAGGGAGGAGGAACTTTATCTGGAAGGAGCAATGGGGAGCAAGTGGTACCATCTTGAGGTACACTTGATGTGAAACACTGCAGTCAGACTTGATACAATTGCAATGTTTTCACTATCCTTGCAAACGTTGAACAGCAGGCTCTTGAGAGTATTTACTCCAGAGGAGAATACAATGGCTTCTGTTGCCTTCTCCCAAGACCTACTGTGGGTTCAACAGTGGGAGAAAACTTGGAGCTCAACCTTGCCTGAACAGATGGCTACACCACTTCCCAGGTTAAAATCCACACAGTGTATGTTAACTTGGAAACTTTGAATTTGTAACTCACGCAACCAAAAAAGCACTAAACCAGTGAAACTCAATTATGGAGAAGGCATCCAGGAATGAATGTGTTTATAAAGCTGTAAGGAGAAAAGAGGCATTTTCATACCTAGGAATCCAGGATGAGGACTCAAGAGCTCAAGATAGACTTCAGCCATCAAATTCAGAGCTAGAGATTTAGATTAGTCTATAAATTTCTAGAGGTCAGAAAAAGGGTCTCATTACAACTGATCTCTAATGGATATTGACTAAAAAGAACATAGTCAAACTTTCAGTGAGCTGCTGGTCATTATCTGGAATTAATAGCTTATGCACGTTTCTTTCGATTGGAAATGGATGACATAAAAACAGATGACATTTTCTTATTTCTACTTATAAGTTGAATTCCATAAGAATACTATAAAGTCATAATTCTTCAAAACTTAATGTCTACTTTTTACTTTGAAATCTCTTATTTAAATTTTTGAGATTATTTTGAAATTAACTTTCATATACTATTTTCATATAAGTATAAATTGCAAGACTTTTCACTATTTCAAGTTATTTAACCATTATTTCTTAAATTATTGCTTTAACCAAGTCAAATTTTCAAAAGAGAAACTATTAAATCGTTGTATAGGATATTTTAAAAAAATGTTTGAGATGCTTATTAGTCAAAACAGTCTAAGGGATATATGTCGTTATACACATGTACACTAACGTCTTTAAGGGTTACATACTCGAAACTAGGAGAACTGACTTAACATGACCTGAATGTATCTTCTTAATAATATTATTCACAAAATTACATGAAAAAAAATGAACATTTAAATGAACATCTTATACATCCTATTTTGGGTACAGAGGCCATGTACTAAGAAACATGAATTGAATGTGGATTAAAGGAGATATCTCTTTATAATTATTATTTATGTATAAACTTTTCTTCTGTAGGGGCATAGAGACATTGAAAACTTTAAAGTAGTAGGTAATATTTTGTAAAACACTCCTAACACACATTCTGCATCTAAACATTGTATTATTTTAACATTATTGTTGGGGAAGAAATTCTATAAGCTTATATTTCTGTCTTATCATGGATCATTTATGTGTTTTTATATTAAAAAATTGTGGTTTAAGAAGAAATTTTTGGCAATCTAGAATGATAGTCTCTTAAAATATTTGATATTCCTTCATCCAAATGACTTTTCATTAATACTATTTCTAGCTTATATGGCTCAATAATATTTAGTCATTTTCTATTACCTAAGTTATCAGGCTGTGTCATCTTTTTTTCAACTACCCTGTGTCTACCTCAAGTATTTTACTTAAATTAACTTAAAATGTTAGGGCTTTTTTTGGTCCAATTATTGTTATTCTTATCAAAATAAAAATTCAACCAGCTTGTCACTTGTGGGTGAAGTTTGCAGTTCTAATTTGATATGGAATAATACTCCAGTCAACTAATTTTAGGATTGCCATATTGATTATTAAACAGAGTATTAATATGGATGAAATTTTTAAATCTGCTATTTTGTGGAATATATTGTTATATATAAATATAGCTTTAGGGTATTATAGTAGTTCTTAGTATCTTTATATTCTTCATTTGTATTTATTTCTCAACTTGTCAAAATTTTAAAATAGTAAGTTCTATTACACTTCATGATGAAGGTCCGAGGCACTGAATCATTTAAAGATATTGTGTTTTCATTATGTAATTGTCTACAAATTTTAACTATGAAAACCAAATGGTCTTTTAAGTCACATTTCCTGGAAAAAAGTGTATATTGTGTGTAATGGGTGCTCTTTGCTGCAGGGGGCCAGCCCCTGCAGAGAGATTTAGGGGGTCCCTTGGAAGGTGTGGCAGCATTGGCGATTATTCTGGAGAAAGAAAGAGAAAGAGAAGAGGGGAGAAAGAAAGAGACTGGACTCCTGCTCAGGTGACCAGAAGCCATTTAATGGGTGTAATTCCAGGACTTTTATCCCCAAACTCCACAAAGTTATCATCACGGGAACGCCTGCTGCTATGGTTACACAAAAGGTAGCATGTGCCTTTCACATGAACAGGTCCAGGTGCACACAGGACACCCCCCACTCTCAAGCATATGTAATTTTCAAACATAAGGAAAAACATGAAGTTCTTATCCAGTTTCTATGTACCCTTCGTTGTTTATAGCTACATAACATCGTTCAATGCTTACACCTAAAACCAATATAATGATATATTGCCTTTTACTATTCTATGCTAATTCAAACTGGTTTCTATAAAACAATTGGTGCTATGGTTACTCTCTCCTAGCACTAGCCAGCCTAATACAAACTTTACTGGCCCCTCTAAATCAAACTGAACTAACCACACTTCTATAATAAAATGGTTACTTAATTTTTCTTAATCTATATAAACTATTTTCTTAAAACATATATCTATAAATTTCTAAAGGTCACATCATGAGAACCTGTGACCTGTACTAAGCCTCCTCAATGTGACTCAAAGACAAACTTAAATTGTGATAAAGCAAAAGACCATAAGCCGTGGGGAATGGGAACAATAGACTCCTAGGTTAGCTGTGTACGTTCTGGTCTCAGAGTTTTCTGTTAGAGCCAGCTGGAGCTTTTCTTGTTAGTTTGTGCCAAAGGGAAAAGGAGGGAGGGAATGAGTCAACAGCTCCTGAACACATCTTGGTGGTCTTGGGGTCTACGGCCCTTCCTGATCCCTAACGCTCAGTGGGCCTCCGTGGCCGGCTCCCAACACTTTGCATGTCTGGAAATGTCCCGGTGAGCAGTATTCTCCACTGCAAGGTCTACATCCTAAATATGTTAGCACCTCGCTTTCCAAGAGATACGCAAGTGCACGTAGCTTTAAAGGAATCCAGTGCCGTTTAAATTCTTCCCTAAAATTGATCTGCTTGAGAATATACCCGCGTTGATGATATGTCTACTTCCACTGTACATATCTCCAAATGGCTGTGATGCCAACCAAAAAGACACTTTACCAGGGGGACTTCCAGCCCGCCCCATGCATGCATCTTCCAAGCAGATGGATGGTGTTGATACATGGTGTTCTGTGCTGCGATAGGATAGTCTAAAGTCAGAGACAACAGAGTGGACCAATGGAAGCAACAATACGTATCACTTAATGATTTTGCTTTTTATTGAGCTAAATAATGTACCATGGTACGTTGCTCTTGAAGAAGAGTCTCATGAATGCAAACATCAGTGGGAAATACTGAAAGTTTAAAATGGCTTTTAAAAATTTGAACATAGACTGAGTGCAGTGGCTAGTGCCTGTAATCTTGAGGTGGGAGGATTGCTTGAGCCTAAGAGTTTGAGGCTGCAGTGAGTTATGAGAATCACCCCACTGCACTCCAAGGTCCAACGAGATGCTGTCTCTAAA